AAATAACTTATCTGGCCGCCATTCCCCCTTCTCTGCAGCTCTCCTGGTTCATAGAAATGATCCGCTAGAGGAAGGGGGGCAGGAGCAATTTTCCTTCCCCCCCTTTCTCCTCGCATGTCATTTCTACATGTCAGGAGAGCTCTGGAGAAGGGGGCATGGTGGCCAGGTAAGATTTAATCCCTTGGGGGGGGGGCATTGGGGATGGGGTTAGAGCCCTCTTGGGTTCGGTCTGGAAAATGCAAGAGGGCTGCGTGGATGGCCCCATGAAAAGTGACAGAACTTCCGAAGGGGTAGTCCAGACAGCAGCCATATTGGAATTGACCCGGGTCTTTCAGGAACACCTGTGTCTTTCCATTATCAAGTTAATTTGGAACAAAGTTTTCCTGCTTTGTGCCAAATGCATTCGTTTTTACGTGGGCCATTATTAAAAATCCATGAACTCGCGTATTTTGTGACCTGTCTGGATGTGCCCTGAGGCCCCTTCTACACTGCCATATAAAATCCAGATTATGTACTTTGAACTGGATTATATGGCAGTGCAGACTCAGAGAATCCAGTTCAAAGCAAAAAATTGGATTTTCTGCTTTGATAATGTAGATTATATGGCAATGTAGAAGGGGCAAGAGAGTACTAGTATCTCACCAAACTTCAAATTCTATTGTGGGGGACCCCCTGCTTGGGGTCCTTGCTGAGTCCGTCGCAGAGGACAGCAAAATGAAGAGAGTCTAGCCTCCAGAGGTAAAGCAAATCTCGTTTATTTTCTTCACGACCGTGGAGAGACGGAACAAGCCAGAAACAACACAGTGTTTCACTCAAAGTGGCTGCCGGTGCTCTACATCTCAAAAGTGGTGTTTCTTATACACTTTGACAAACATCTTAATCCATGAGATTAGGCAAAATGTCAAACATCCTATACCTGGTTATACATTAAAGTTTCCTACTTTTGCTGGTTCTGCATTCCCTAAATTAAGCAATAAGGATGTGAATGAAAAGTCATATAGGCAGAAAAGCTACGTGTCACTCCTTCCAGTATGGGAGGGGGACTTCTGTTTCCTCTCAATCTTTGGTTCATAGTGACGTATTAAGCCTGACCTCTTCGTTATTCTGCTGACCACGTCCAGTTTTTTTCCCTTATTCTGCAGGTTTTCTGTGATACGTGTATCTAGCTCCTCTGTCACTCTGTAACTTGTAAATGACCCTTTGCTTTGCCAAACAGCAGGAAATGCTTATTTTCTATTCTTATCTTAGTTTGCCAAAGTACTTATTTCATTCGCCTGCTTTGAATCTGCCTTCTTTGAAAAGGGGAAAGGTTACTGTCTTATGTAAAAAGCTTCTATAGTATAGGTTTTTAGATTGATTCAACTTTAGGATTATTAATTATTAGGATTTTCAGGCTTCACTTCCTCATTTTTTTTCTTTTCTCCTTTGCAAAGCATGTGTTACAGAAACGTAGAAGAAATCAAGATTTAAAAACATCACATAATAAGTAAAACACAAACACAATGAACAAGATTCCTGTCACAAGCTCTTTTACCCATACAAAGTCAGGAAGCCATGACATCAAACAATTCTACCAAGTACTATCTTCTGGAGTGTATGTGGACTTTGTTGCTGACACTATATCATGGAGTTTGGTGACATCTTCATTTTTTCCTGATTTATTGACATAATGGCAACAGGTGGTCTTTAACCATAAACAAAGTAATCTAGGGCTAGTTTGTGTTGCATCAGTATTCCAACTAAGGAATTCACTTCTTTTTGAAGTATGATCAGCCCATGTATGGAGGAGTTGGCTATGCACTCCATTTGGGCAGAGATCTTTCAAATCTGTTGAATGTTTAAAGCTGCTTCAACTGAGAGAAAAAGTATGGCTCCGAAACTTTCTCCTTCAGTGAGATATATGTTGTCTGGATCATAGCCTAAGTTTTCCTGGTATTCCATCTGTCCCTGTGCCAACCTCTTTGCTTATCCCAAGCCACCTTTGGCTGTTCTAATGGGTAAGCTCTTATTCCAGCAGGGAACAAGCTTCCTAAGATGCAGGTTCCATTCCAGATTGGAGGTAGCACTTTACCTGCCCAAATACCACAGATCCAAAACAACTCTGGGGGCAATCCTCCAGATCCAGCTGAACTGTGTAGCGTGCTTGATTCATAAATTTTTCACAGGGCCTGTTCAGCAACAAGGTTATCATAAATTCGAACTATCCCAGCATTACTATTTCCAGTGCATGTAAAAGGATGAGGGAGATCCTTATTCTCAGTCTGGTGGTCAAATGCAAGTTGATTATCATAAAAAGTCACAGTAACATTGCAAGTGGGATAGTGGCCTAGATTTATGTGCTTTCTGAGTGCAATCTTTGTTTGACCTTTAGTGTATCCCCAACTGCTGTTGTTACTCCATCGGATACACAAGGGGGCATAGGAGTGGGCTTTCTTAAAGTTAAAGTGGTCTGTCCTTGATCTTTGGTCCAGTTGAAGTGGCACCTTGGTGCTATTCCATCCTGTATAGTTCAACAGCAGCCCTGGCACAATTGGCCATCCTTGCAGGTAAATAGATGGACCATGTGAACAAAACCAACAGTTAGTCACATTGGTTGTACTGAAGATGCTGTCTACTCGTTGGTGGAACAAATTACCATGCCATCCTCCCTGGACATGAGGCAGGTTGAGAACTCACCCCCCCCCCCCCCGAAACAAACTCAGTCGTCGTCCCGTCCCCCCCCCGAATAGAAATCCTGGCTACGGGCCTGATCTCGGTATACAAACTGCCAATGATATGCTAGTTTGTTTTTGGTTTTTTTGTCGTGTCAGGAGGGACTGCAAGTCGCTCCTGGTATGAGAGAATTGGCTGTCTGCAAGGACGTTGCCCAGGGGACGCCTGGATGATTTGATGTTTTTATCAACCTTGTGGGAGGCTTCTCTCATGTCCCCGCATGAGGAGCTGGAGCTGATAGAGGGAGCTCATCCTCCTCTCCCCGGGTTCGAACCTGCGACCTGTCAGTCTTCAGTCCTGCCGGCACAGGGGTTTAACCCACTGTGCCACCGGGGGCTCCTATGCTAGTGCTATGCTAGTGCTGGAATGCCTAAATATGTGGTAGCAACTGGTTGAGAGTTAGGGGAAGGCTGAGTTTCCTTAGCCATTCATTTCTATTTCTCTCTCCTAAAGAGAGGGCACATCACAAATACAAAAATCTTAGTCTCTTAAGTCTTCTTGAACTGAAGCCGGAGGGGGTCTTCTTTGCTGAGTGAAACTGCAAATGCAGAGGGCTGAAAGTGTTTTCAGACCATCATATTTCCAATTTCTATGTATATTGTGAAGACTGGACGGTGAAAAAAGGTGATAGGAAAAAAATCAGCTCACTTAGTAATAAACAGGTATTCCATGGATACTCTGATCTACTAAAAGACACATAAATGGGCATTAAAGCAAATAAGGCTCCTCCCACACAGCTGAATAAAATCCCACAGGATTTGCTTTGAACTGGAATATATGGCAGTGTGGATTCAGATAACCCAGTTCAAAGCAGATATTGTGGGATTTCTGGGTTATATGACTGTGTGGAAGGGCCCTAAGACTCTCCCTAGAAGCCAAAATGACTGATACTTTAGCTATATCATGAGAAGACAGAACTCGATAGAAAAGACACAAATTCTTGTCAACTTAGTAGGAAAGGGGAAGACTGCATTCCAGATGGATAGACAAAATTAAGGAAGCCACTGGCACTGAGTCTGCAATGCTTGAGAAAGGCTTTTGATAATAGGGTGACTTGGAGGTCTCTCATTTATAGGGTCATCATATGTCAAAGTTGTCTTTATGGCACTTAACAGCATGACATTAATGCAGATAATGCTGTAAAACAGCCATGTGTGAATTTTAGTCTTGAACTATGAATACACATTGAAATTAGTGCTGTTTTCCAAGACATTTTCACAGTAGGAAGAAAATTGCTAAAATTACTCATTACTTCCTTTCAAGAAGATAATTAATGAAGAATTCAAGGATCAAAGTTGGCATATCTGTCTTATATCAGCTGCAGGGATTCAGCAGTTTCCAAGTAGGAAATTTAATGGGTGCATCTCTCTGTGTGTCTCTGTGTGTGTGTAAGTGCACATATACTGGTCAACCTTTGCATGACTCACCCATGATTTGCATGATGAGTTTAATATACAAATCTGGCTGCCTTGATTTTGGGGACCAAAGTGGAACATAGAATAGAAATAGAAACTAGCAGCATAAGAGAGAAAGATGAAAACGGCTAGTTCCTGACAAGAGTGGGGAGCAGATTTTCTACAGGAAAATATTAGATGAGCACTGAGACGGGGAGAAAAAGTTCAGGAGAAAGGAACAGGGGGTAGGGGTGGAGAAAAGTAATGGTGGTGGGAAATAGAACCATCTCCCAGGAGGTGAGTTGCTTTGAATGCAATTTTCCTGCCTCTTGGTTGGGGGGGGGGGGGGGGGGGGGTTGGACCCAAGAGGTCTCTTCCAACTCAATGATTCTATGATTCTGTGAAAGGAGTACTATGAGATTTCATTGGGTTTAAAGGCCTGATTTATTGAGGTACCAGATCAAAAAAAGATTCAAGGTTTTGTTGAAATGAAACATGTTACAGTTTAGACCAGAGGTCCTCAAACCACATGCGGACCGCCGAGGGCATTTATCTGGCCCCGCGGCCTGGCCTGGTCTGGCGCAAAGCCCCTCGCCACTTGCGTCTCTCTTCCTCCGGAATGGCTTTGGGCGGGGTCGCGCCGGGCCAGACTTCTCCCTCCTTCCTTCCTTCCCCTTCCCCCTTTCTCTCCCCTTCCGCTCCCTCCTTCCCTCCCTTTCCTCCCCCCTTCCTTCCCTCCTTCCCTCCCGTGTGGGAGGGAGAAGCCTCCCGGGTGGGGCCTCTGGCAAGGAAAGCCGGCGTTGCCTGGCCACGCCCACCCGACGCCGCGTCTGCTGTTACTGTTGTTGCATTACAGCTGCTAAATATCCCCTTCCCACTTTTTCTCCCACACAGGTTCCACCCATACTTCTGGACAAGCAGTTTTCAGAATTTACACCAGACATTACTCCCATTATCCTGGCTGCCCATACAAACAATTATGAGATCATAAAACTTTTAGTACAGAAGGGTGTTTCTGTCCCCCGACCTCATGAAGTCCGTTGTAACTGTGTGGAGTGTGTCTCCAGCTCAGATGTGGACAGCCTTCGCCATTCCCGATCCAGGCTGAATATCTACAGAGCTCTTGCCAGTCCATCTTTGATTGCCCTATCAAGTGAGGATCCTTTTCTTACAGCTTTTCAGTTAAGCTGGGAACTTCAGGAGCTAAGCAAAGTGGAAAATGAATTCAAATCTGAATACGAGGAACTGTCTCAGCAATGTAAGCAGTTTGCAAAAGACCTCTTGGATCAGACCCGAAGTTCCAGGGAATTGGAAATCATCCTTAACTACAGAGATGAAAGCAGCCTCATAGAAGAGCAGAGTGGCAATGATCTGGCAAGATTAAAACTGGCAATTAAGTATCGCCAGAAAGAGGTAAGTTGCAGCATCTTATTTTTGAAGAAATAATTTGTGAGATAATCATAATATACTATCACTCATGGCCAGTATAATTGTCTCCCAAAGATAGTTTTGGTAGTGGGTCCAAAAGTGACTGTAGTTCTGGATCTGCATGGTCTTTCACAATGAGGACATAGATTTCTAGATGGAAGGTGATCATGACAAGGATTTACTTTACATGCCTTCCTCTTTGCACATTTCTCCCTTTTGCTCTCTTTTCATGCTTGTCAGGTAAAGCAAATCTTTTTTTGCCTAAAAAATCCCTTAGGCTGCAACTTGGGGTGTCGATATCCACTAGTAGATAATCCTCATTATCTACCATACCCTTAATTAATAAAATTCGCCCTTTGTCATCTTTATCTATTAAATCAATCTTAAAACCCAATTTATTAATTTTATTATTTATTAATCAATTTTATATACTGCCACTCCCCGAAAGCTTGGAGTGGTTTACAATATACACATGCAATACATAACATTAAAATCAAGGAAAATTTTGATCACCAAGGTTCAAATGCCAGCCTAAATAAATAAGTTTTACAAGCTCTACGAAAGGATAGTAAATCTCGGAGAGCTTGTGTCCCCGCTGGCAAGGCATTCCACAGGTAAGGAGCCACCACTGTAAATGCTCTACGCCTAGTAGACATCAGGTGAAAGGTCCTAAAATTGGGAACTTCAAGTAAATCCTGGTCGTCTGAACAGAGTGATCTCTGGGGTTTGTAGGGGATGAGGCGGTCCCTCAGGTATTCCGGCCCCAAGGAATATAAGGCCTTGAAGGTAATCCGATACTCAATCGGCAACCAGTACAGTTGCTGCAGGATTGGAGTGATATGACATCTCACTGAGAGCACTGCAAGAAGCCGGGCAGCAGCATTTTGCACTAGTTTAAGTTTCCAGATCACCGATAAAGGCAGGCCTATTGTAGAGGGCGTTACAATAGTCCAATCTTGAGATGACCGTAGCCTGGATCACCGTGGCCTGGTTGTCCTTGGACAGATAGGGAGCCAGTCGCCTAACTTGACGCAGATGGAAAAATGCGGCTCTGCTCACAACAGAGGCCTGGGCCTTCATCGTCAGCATAGGACTCCCAGACTCTTTACCAAAGATGACGGGCATAATTTCACGCCATCCAGGGCAGGCAGCCGGATTGCCCCTCCGTCCGGGCGACCCAGCCAAAGGATCTCCGTCTTTGCTGGATTCACCTTCAACAACCATCCAGTAATGGCCTCAAGGCATTGATGGAAATTATTGGGTATGGAGCCTTCCATCCTCAGAATGAGTTGAGTGTCTTCAGCATACTGATAGCACTCAAGCCCAAAACCTCGCACCAGCTGGGCAAGTGGCTGCATATAGATGTTAAACAGCAGAGGGGAAAGGATAGCCCCCTGAGGGACCCCACATTTAAGAGGGGCCCTCTCCACTCCACACGTTGACCCCATTTTTGGAGGAAAGAGGACAGCCATTTAAGGGCCATCCCCCTAATTTATTTACTCTATTTGTATACCGCATATATCAGCCTGAGGCGGCGACTCAATGCGGTTTAATTCCAGCCATGGCTAGGTGGTGAATCAAAAGGTTGTGATCAACCGTATCAAATGCTGCCGTAAAGTCCAATAACACAAGCAGTGCTGATCCTCCTTGATCCATCTGGCAACGAAGCTGATCTGTAACAGAGAACCTCACAGTCTCCATCCCATGCCCTTTACAAAAACCGGACTGGAAGGGATCTAATCGGGCTGTGTCTTGTAGGAACTGCTGCAGTTGCTCTGCTACCGCCCTCTCAATCACCTTTCCCAGAAATGGAAGATTCGAAACCGGGTGGTAATTGGAGGGAATCGAGCGATCCAAGTCCGGTTTCTTCAGCAGTGGAGATACCACAGCTTCTTTCAGAAACTCTGGAAAGACTCAAGGGAGCCATTTATTACATTCAACAAAGGACCACGTAGTCCCTCCAAGCAAGATTTAACTAGCCAAGAGGAACACGGGTCGAGAGAGCAAGTGGTTGATCGAACTGCAGTCATAGTCCCGTCAACAGCCTCTGCGTCCAGCAGAATAAACTGGTCAAGGGTGGGCCCAGTGAGTAGCCACGGAGTCTCAAGTTCACTCACTATGTCAATTGTGGCAGGGGGGTCCCAGCGGAGCAACGTGATCTTGTCTGCAAAATATCTCTGAAAAGCTTCGGCTGAAGGGGCCTGATCATTACTGTTTAGAACGGTAAGGACCGTCGTCAAAGATCTGATAACCTTAAACAATTTGGCCGGGCGTGAGCTAGCAGACACTATCAAGGAAGCATAATAAACTGTTTTAGCTTCGATGGTAGCATGCTCATAAAACTCTGAATAGTTTATAATCTGATCTCGATGCTTCGTCACGGAGTTCTCGCCACACATCCTCCCGCTTCAGCGACCGCAATTCCTCGGTAAACCAAGGCGTTCTGTTCTTGCGGGGTCGGAGAGGGCATCTAGGGGCGATCTCGTCTACTGCATTGGATAAATTGTTGTTCCATAAATCCACTTGCTGTTTGATCGAGCTGCTAATACCCTCAGAGTATTCAGGAACCTGTCAGGCTCCATAAGCCTCCTCGGGTGAACCCAAACCAGTTTGGCGCTTATGCCGGGTGAGTAAGCATGCTCTAACCGGATTCCCAGGGCAATCTCTGTGAAATAAACACTATGAGCTCCCTGGCTTTAGAACGTCCAAATCCCTTATTTTAATGCTCTACCCAATCCAGATGAATTTCATTACAACCCTCCCTCTATTGATGTGATTCCTGCAAAAAAAAAAAAAGTTTGGTCTTGACCTTTTTAAATACACTGTCAGTTTTTGATATTTGAGTTTAGATGTCATACCCCAACCATTAAGGATAATGCATTTAAATCTATTCATTATCCAAAAGAGCAATAAGCGAATTCCTCATCACAGGGCTTACATACACCCCATTTGACACAAAAACAAAACAAAACAAAATTGTTCCATTGACCCACTTGCTCTAAATCTCCTATACCCCTACATACATTTGCATTTCCCGATTCTGCCTAAGCTGTAGCCACAGCCAGAATGAATACCAATGTATTCCTAACAATCAAGAGGAGAAACTACATTAGTTGGCCCACACTTAATTATTTCCCAATCCTTTTACTCATATACTGTCGGAACCCAGATGCCTTAAAGAGCCAGACACAGGAATGTAATCAAAACAACAGTTTATTAAATCAAAGTAAACAGGACTCAGAGACACTTGCTTCAGTGCCTCTGGTCAAAACTCAAAGTTTGCAGCAATTTGCAGCTAGAAAAATGAACGTGGTAAATAATCTGGATTAAACTGGCAAATAATCCGGATTAAACTGGCAAATAATCCGGATTAAACTGTGACGGTCTGGATGGGGGCGAACAAATTGAAATTGAATCCAGACAAGACAGAGGTACTCCTGGTTAGTCGTAAGGCCGAACAGGGTATAGGTTTACAGCCTGTGTTAGATGGGGTCGCACTCCCCCTGAAGACGCAGGTTCGCAGTTTGGGGGTGATCCTGGACTCATCGCTGAGCCTGGAACCCCAGGTTTCGGCGGTGACCAGGGGAGCTTTCGCACAGTTAAAACTTGTGCGCCAACTGCGACCGTACCTTGGGAAGTCTGACTTAGCCACGGTAGTCCACGCTCTGGTTACATCCCGCCTTGATTACTGCAACGCTCTCTACGTGGGGTTGCCTTTGAAGACAGTCCGGAAGCTCCAGTTAGTCCAACGGGCGGCAGCCATGATTCTAACAGGAGCGGGGCGCAGGGAGCATACAACTCCCTTGCTGAACCAGCTCCACTGGCTGCCGATATGCTACCGGGCTCAATTCAAAGTGCTGGCGTTGGCCTTTAAAGCCCTAAACGGTTCTGGCCCAACTTATCTATCCGAACGTATCTCAGCCTATCAGCCCACCAGGACCCTAAGATCTTCCGGAGAGTCCCTTCTCTCTATCCCTCCAGCTTCAGAAGTGCGGCTGGCTGGGAACGAGAGATAGGGCCTTCTCTGTGGTGGCCCCCCGGCTTTGGAACACCCTCCCTATAGAGGTACGATCAGCCTCCTCACTGATGGTGTTTAGGAAGAGACTCAAAACATGGCTGTTCAAACAAGCATTCGGCTAATCTGCGGCAACTCGAATCCTGATGACTAAGGACAGAAAACATGGACAACGAATTCTGGATTGTGATTTCAACTCGAGATATATGGGATTATTATTGGTGGCCCAATAATTTGTTATTGTATGTGTATATGTTTTTAAATTGGAGATTGTTTTTAATTGCTGTAAACCGCAATGAGTCGCCGATCCAGGCTGAGATATTAGCGGTATACAAGTATATCAAATAAATAAATAAATAAATAAATAATCCGGATTAAATAAGAGTTCAAGCAAAATGCACCAAAATCGCACAGTTCAAAGATAAAGCCAAAACAAAAAGCTGTAAAGAGAAGCTGTCATCCAAAAACAGTCCAAGGTCAAAGAAGTTCTAGTTGAAGATACAAGAGTCCAGAAAGCAGTGTCATTGTCAGAAACAGCCCGTGGTCAAGGAGAGGGGAAATCCGCACTTACGAGAGTCCAAGCTGGTCAACACACAAAGAACACAGCAACCTGTAGATCCAGGACCCAAGCCCAACAAGAGAAGCAGCAGCGACAGAACCCAAGGCACTTAACCAACACTTTGCCTACTGCAAAGTTACATTTTTTCGGTGCCTTCATTTATCCTACAACTCATCATCCGTTGATGAGCTGCCCTCTGCCCTTTCCTCATCACTGTCAGCTGTCTTACCCATTACAGTTGAGCGTCAACACCCATCTCTACAACTCTTCCACCTCTTGTCAAGACTTAGGTCTCCCCACGATTCCCTGGTATCACCAGATTGCCAATCCCCAGAAAACCCTTCAAAAGTATCACTGGATGTGGGTTGCATGCACACATTCCTGACTTCTTGCACTTGGGTCCAATCCAAT